ACTTTGGTATCGATACTGAGTACTCATTCTGACATCGAGCTCATGGTATCGATACTCTAAAAGTATCAGGGGAAAAGTATCGATACTACTCAGTATCGGACTCATTAAAATACGTTTTTTTGGATACTAAAATTATTTAATTCTTCAATCGTATATCTAGTTATTTCTAGAAATTAAAACAACAGAAATTTAAAATATTTGATTTTTATTTCTTTGCAGAACTTACTTTCACGTTAGAAGTACATATATATACCTTCACGAATTTCAAATTTTATTAAGAATTTTTGTAAACTTTTTGAGTATGTATTTTTGTAGCTATTCAATTTAAGTATAATAATGTGCAAGTTTGAAATAAAAGTCAACGGTAGTAGGCTACACGTAAAGTTGAATAGGTTACAAAACTGCATACCCAAAATGTTTCTAAAAATTCTGCATTTTTTTGCATAAAGTTATAAAAAAGGTTTATTAACTGAAAAATGTCATTTTATTAAGCTCTTTAAACCTACTTTACTTTTTATGAATAAGGCCGTTAAACTTTAACTTATTTGGTTTATGATATGCAACAGACTACACGAAATTTCAGTTTATTTTAAATGATGGACAAAATTGAATGANGGTGCCGATTTTGACAGTTGCGGTTACTTGTAAATAAACCTTTGTTTACATTTCAGCGGCAAAGATAAATTTGAATTATAAGTGAAGAATCAATTTAAAATTGTTTTAGTTTGCAATTTGTGAGTGATTTTTGAGTTGAAGCCTGCGTAAAAACTGAAGTGCTGTGTGTTGAATTGATACAGCCGTCCAGATGCAAGATGCGTAGATGCAAGTCTGGCGCTGCGACGAATCGCTGCATTTTGTGTACATAGGGCACGGTTCCCGAAATGTTTCTTTATTATTATTTTAACAGCATTTCATCACAATTAGGGTTCGAAATTTCAGACTTTGGTATCGATACTGAGTACTCATTCTGACATCGAGCTCATGGTATCGATACTCTAAAAGTATCAGGGGAAAAGTATCGATACTACTCAGTATCGGACTCATTAAAATACGTTTTTTTGGATACTAAAATTATTTAATTCTTCAATCGTATATCTAGTTATTTCTAGAAATTAAAACAACAGAAATTTAAAATATTTAATTTTTATTTCTTTGCAGAACTTACTTTCACGTTAGAAGTACATATATATACCTTCACGAATTTCAAATTTTATTAAGAATTTTTGTAAACTTTTTGAGTATGTATTTTTGTAGCTATTCAATTTAAGTATAATAATGTGCAAGTTTGAAATAAAAGTCAACGGTAGTAGGCTACACGTAAAGTTGAATAGGTTACAAAACTGCATACCCAAAATGTTTCTAAAAATTCTGCATTTTTTTGCATAAAGTTATAAAAAAGGTTTATTAACTGAAAAATGTCATTTTATTAAGCTCTTTAAACCTACTTTACTTTTTATGAATAAGGCCGTTAAACTTTAACTTATTTGGTTTATGATATGCAACAGACTACACGAAATTTCAGTTTATTTTAAATGATGGACAAAATTGAATGATAGTAATCCATATAAGCAAAGAAAATTGGGTTGCCAATGGAAGAAAAAATTTAAAAAGTGTGTTTTTTTAAAAGTTTTCGATACTACGACTACTTTGCAAAGTATCGAGTAAAATCAACAAATAAGGTATCGAGTATTAAAGTACTCATTTTTATACCCATGAACGAAAGACACAAGATCACGCGGGAAGGAAAGAAAGAAAAAGCTATTTTCTAGCTGCCGAAATCTCGACGCCATCTTTGTTGTAAGAAGTAAACAACGAAGAGAACAGAGAAAACCGCGAAATGAACGCATGAATAATCATTTTTATTATGCAAATTCGTCTATAAACCATGCCGTTGTGTTAAATTATTCTTTATCTTATGTGTACACACGTTGTCACAGGCTAAAATGAAGAAAATTGCAGTAAAAAGCCACTACCAAATTGTAAATAACGAAGAAATGTAAACAAACGGCTAATGTCAAAATCGTTAAACTTTTTTCCTAAATGCGATTCTAACGGGCTACTCTCCTGCCCGCGTGATCTTGTATTTTTGGTTCATGTTTTATACCCTCAGTATCGATGCTTACTCAATATCGATAGGTACCGTTCGAATCTTAATCACAATGGTCGCGTTCATTAGACGTAGCTGTTTAGCTCATCTACTACGAAACTGCTGGCAACTGTTGAATCCAACAATTACGTCTTAGAAACGGCTGATGAATATGCTGCCAAATGAACAGCTGATAAATGTAAACAACTGAAATTGCAACAAATAGAGATAGTTGCGCCGATACTATTTAGAATTCAACGCTGATCGGCCGCCGTGTTGAAAAAATCGTTCAGAGTTACAATGAATTAAACAGTGCAAAATTATATAGCAAACATCTTAAAAACACATATTTAGAAACGTAGTATTATTATAAAATATTTTAGTTACTTTATCACGTCAGTAATTTAAAATATAATAAATTTGTTTGCAACTGCCACCTAACAAAGCGGCGTTAAATTTAATATAAGCGGCGTAAGTCTTTTCGATCAGCTGTTTAGGCTAAGCCCAACACGTTGAGTTCAGGTAGCGTAAACATTTTCCGCTGGAAAAAATGGCGGAAAGTTGCCAACTGTTGGGCTGAGCGTAACTACTCAACTGTGCGTTTCTAAGACAAACAGCCAACGGTTACCCAACAGCTACGACTTATGAACGCGCCCAATGACTTCGCTTCTGCTCCAAGCAGCCTCCTTTAAACGGCGTTTCCACGCCAACCGAATCACGTGGTTCGCTCTCTAAATTATGAACGGCGAAGCAAACTGTTTACACG